GGAGCATGTTTTAAGGTAAGCCATAGCTTTTAGTTTACGAATTAACCTGAATTACTATGAAATAAATGCAAATATGAGCAATTTTAAATCAATTATGAATTTAAGATCATTTAAATTAAAAATTTCCGACTAAAAATTAATTCATGAATTTAAGACGCATTTCAGAGAACGAAGAATAATAAAAATAAAGAGAGTTTAAACACTTTTTTTCAAATAATTGCTTTATTTCCTATGAAGAAATTGACATATTTCAAAATTTCTTTACATATAAACTAAGATATATATATGTACATAACAGATAAAGTGACAATAAACATTTCCAATTTGATATCTATAATCCATATAATGGCAAATCCTAGCAAAACTGCATGAGAAGTATTATTAGTTCATTTCTTATTCTGTGTTATAATGAAATAATATTTAATTAAAGCTGAAAGCCCCCCAAAAAATCCAGGAAGAATTTTAAATCGTCTGAATTAGCACAGCTTGAGTTGAGTAAACTTTATCTATAGCAGCGTACTGCCCGGAAGCATAATTTTTAAGTATACCTCTGTATTGCAACCGAAACTGAAGTTTTAAGTACAGACCAATGGGCTTATGTGCACTTGTGATAACGAATCTTTGAAAGTCGTTGCTTATATTTTAATTTTCAATATTTAGTATGTAATTGCATTCCTTTCGAATTCTCTCAACTATATACTAAACTCTTCGACATTAATTTCGACCCTTTAATTACAGTTGTTAATTTAACTGTATCTTTATGTGTCAACATTTAAGTCTATACTAAGTTCCTACGAATCTAATCTGCTATGATGGAATTACAAACTAGTTAATTATATAGATAAAAAACACTCTTCCATTGAATTACTGACTAAATGATATGAAATTACATCTTAAATACGCCAAAGGTATTTTTAAAATATTCGTATATTAAAAATAAATTCCATATTTAAATTTTTTTTTTTTTTTTTTGTTTTTGTTTAAAAGCCAACATTTTGTACAGCTTTACGCTGATAAACTTAAGTTTTTTTTTTTTTTTTAAGGATATTGTCAACTACGAAAACATAACATTTTAGAAATCTAATATAAATAATATACAGGTAGCCCTCTTATAACACGGCATCCTGTAACACTGTTTCGCTTTATAACGAATTGCGAGAACTCTCCTACAGAACAGTTTTCTTATAACAGTTTCTTTCTAACACGATAATAAAACTACCCAAGCGATCCGAAGAAATTTAACGAAGATTTTCGATATTGAGCAAAGCACCCATATAGTAATTTAACACATAAGAATCCTTGTTTCGTAAGTTGTGCCATTTGTCTTACAAGATCTAGTACCTGTTAGAACAAATGTCCTCAGGAAGATGAGCCATGTGGTGGAGAGCAATCGTTGAATTCTTAACCGGTAACGTAGGAAAATCGTTTCCTTCCATGACATTCAGTGCGCAATAACGCAATTGAAACAATACCTAGTTTCAAAGAGAGCATAATCACCAGATAACAAAGAAGAAACCTCACTATCGCAGAAGGTGAACAACATGAGGTCACAATAAGTACTCTAAAACGCACAACTTGCACGTTCGGCTCCCAAAATTTGATTCCTCATCTCTGCGGCCTGAAAACAAAAGTGTCTCGCGCTGCTGTTCGGCAGTCTGCGTCTAGCCACGGTGTGTCATAGAGTAACTTTTTCGTCATTAAGCCATTAAGTTTCAATCCCAAAACATGTCCGATAAAGATTAAAAAACAACGTTTAAGAGGATATTCATTTCTTTAGCAGTAAAGATGAAAATTTTGGACCGTCTTTTAAAAGGAGAAAAGGCATTGGAAAAAGTTTTCATTTGAATGAAGCAGCAGTCCGGACTATTGAGAAAAATGAAAAAGAAATAACTAATGCAGTTGCTGCAGGATCTTCGATATTCGCAAAATGTGCAGTTCGCCCCTGGGCGCCAATAATTAAGAAGATGGAAAAGGCATTCAGCATTTCGATTGATAATAGCTGTCAAAAAAGAATTTCGTTGGGTGTTTATCCATTCCGTTAAACAAAAAGCACTCAAAATTTTTAAGCATCTTAAAGAACACGGATAATCCTCTGTCAAGCCAGATTTTGTGGCAAGTAAAGGTTGGTTCGAAAATTGCAAAAAGCTTCTTGCAATTAATAGCATAAGAATTTAAGGAGAATCTGCATTGGCTGAATTTGAAGCTGCTAGGACGTTGATTATAAAGTTAAAGATTGGCTTTTCAATTGTTTTGTGCCAGACGCTGAACGTTAGACATACAAGACAGCACTGTAGCGACATCGTATCTTTGTCTCTGAAAGAACCGAAAGCATCAACGTTAATGCTAACAGAAGACATGACTCTCAGTTGAAACATAAAACGTGCATAAATAGAAAACGAAATTGGTGGCTTATTAGAACTTGATAAATCAATCGGAGATGAAGGATTTCTCGACATGGCTATTGAGGACGTTCAAGATTTATTAGGAGAAGAAGAAATTGACAAAGCAGATTTGATGGAAAATTGTATTCGAAGCCGTTAATCAAATCGATTCTGAGGACACTAGCACTGATGAAGATTGTGCAGGTAATAATTTAACATTAAAAAAATAATAAAACAAGGCCTTAGTTGAAAATCTCGAATCTTTTAATTTATTATTTATTTATTTATTTTTTGACTGCAGACCCTTCCGCTGAAATAAGCCGAAAATTCAAAAGAGAGGTGCATAACTGTCTAGCTCCATATCGAGAAATTTACATTGACCCGGTAAGAGCTAGTAAGCAAAGTAAAATTGCAGATTTTTTAAAAGAGAGAAGAAAATGTCGGAACTTTAAATGAAGAAAGAAATTCTGAAAGTGAAAGCCATCTCATTCTACCAAAAAAACGTTCTCGGTTGATTATACTGAGCAGTAACAGCGAAGAAATTTATTAAACTTAAGTTGCATTAAATTAAAATATGTAATATTTTTTTGTTTTGTTTTGTACGTACATACATATGTTTAATAAAAAAATGAAGTTATTTATGTGGAATTTAAAAAATATTTGTTTTTACAAGTTTTCGGAACATGACCCCCCTTTTTTATACTGGCTTCGGGTCTCATATAAGACAGTATTTTCTAGAAACTTATCTACCGTGTTATAAGAGGGTTACCTGTATTTTTAAACATAACACGTTGGATAAAAATCTGTAATTATTTATTCAATACAATTTTCTAAAATTCGTTGCAAATGAACTAGAACTGAAATAACTAAAGCAAATTCACAGACATCAGGGCCTTCAGCTTTAATATTAAGCATGCAGAATAATTATATAAGTTGTAATAAACTCTTTTAATATATGAAACCGTTATAATATAACTCAAATTAAATCCACTTTTTTAAAATTATGTATAATTTCGATTTTAATAATGCTGTGCTTAAAATTAACTCCATTTTAAAATCGATGCATATAATATACAAAATTATAAGCAAAGTAACATGAATTTACACATCCTAACTAAAAATATTACTGACAAGAAATTAAAAACTAATAATTATTTAATTTAGGCTCATATAAATATTCATCCTCACTAATTTACAATATTTATATATTTTTTACATGCTTCCGCAAACTGTCACGAAGAAAGAACTTGAGTGGATTCACAGCTTCCAATCCATTAGGCTCTTACAATTGCACTTAGCTTTAGCTTTGTCATATATTCCAACAGATAAAGTTTCATAAAATGATGTTGATGGTTTCACGAAAAGTGACGTGATGTAACCCTTTCCACCAACGAAGCTGACTACATACAGAGATTTTAAATTTAAGATAAGAGATGCAATTAGAAGCTCGTAATTAAACACTAAGTGGAAAAGTTAGCAAGACTTTTATCTTTTGACATATAATTAGAGTTCTTGTTTTCTAAGAAATACACTTCAGGTAAGCACATCAGACAGTAAACAACAAATATTGACGTATGTTTTAAACCTCTTAAAAGGTCACGGCTTTGCTTAAAGCCATTTCTTGAGATGTTTCTAACAGAAGAATACCGATGTAAAAATACATCGGAGAATAAAATGGTAATTAAATTTCTCTGTTATTCGACATATTAAAGTTTATTACAACAATAGAATTTGACAGGTTATTATTTATTTATTAATTATCGTGTAAGGGAATGGAAAAGTGTACAACTATTTTTCGTTTATAATAACATGGATCCTGTGCTTAAGTCTTTTGATTTGTTTTTATGTCTTTTATCCTTTTTATGTTCAACGATTCAATGCTATATTTGAATCTGAAAGCCTAATTTATTTACTCTCTAAAATAAAAAAGATGACATTTTATGTTCCATCCGAAAAAAATGATAATGATCTTTTAAGTATATTTCTGTCTGAAATATTCAACTGTCGACAAAATGCAAGAACTGCCAATTTCATCATATTTACGGTTATTATTTTTTATAATCTTTTTTAACTTTTGCTAGAGCAGCCGTTAACGAAATCAGATTCAATATTTTATTTTGTGGTATAGTGGTTAGGGGAGCCTGACTGCGATACCAAAGGGCCCGGGTTCGATTCCCGGAGAAGGCATAGATGTAAAAAAATGTCTGTCTCTTCATGGGAGGCAATGGTGGCCCACCTATTAGGTGCCTCCATAATAAAGAGACCATCGATCTGGCTTTAGGAGTGGACGATGTCGACATAGGCAAGTGCCCGCCATTAGGGGAGGAAAAAATGTTTTTCCTATCTGCATGTTTTATGGTAAGCTATACAGTACAAAGTCCGTAATCCGGACACGTCGAGACTTCGGCGATTCCGGATCTGATAAGATGGCATGCAGAAATTATACAATTAAAAATATGAAATCGTAATTTATGAAATAAAGAGCAATTATGATCTAAAGGGTATCAAAATTTCCAAAAAAAAAAAAAAAGGCTTAATATTTATTTGTTTACTTTATTAAACATTGTTTTTCAATGTAAGTTGTTTAAGTTGCTTCGTTTTTTGTGCTAAACGTGCATGCGTAAACATTAAACGCGCATGCGTAACATTAAACGCGCATGCATAAAAAAAAGTGTGTGGCTATGAGGTCCGGATTATAGATAATTCCGGATAATGGACATCCGGATTACAAACTTTATACTGTATTGTGAGATACTGAATTGCAATATGAAGTTTCCATAGTTTTCAGATTATTACATTGGTTTCCAAAATTATCTTTACATCCTTAAAAAAATGACAAGTCATAATAAATTAAGCAGATTCTTTACCGGCCAAATGGATAAGACCTTTGAATGCTTGGTTCGGATTCGATTCCTCATAAATCGGACTCTCATTCTAGATATTTCAGTGTTTTCCCATGTGCTGTGTAAGTATGGTTTACTAGATTTATTATTTTTAATTTTACAAAAGTAAACAAGTTTTTAGAAACAAAATTTCAGAGTTCGATTTTAATTAATGTGATGACTGAGCTTAATTAATGTATGATTGCAGTATTTTTAACTGTTGGCCTATATTTGCTTAATTTAACTCTCAAATACTCCCGTTCAACAATATTCAACCCGTTTCTCTTTTATCGTAGTAAATTATTTATTTGACTAAAGTTTGCTTCTACTGTAGGCTGTAGAGTCATTAGGATTTTTTTAGAGGCAAAAGGATGAAAAATATGCAACCGCCTTCGCGGGGAATCGAACCACGGACCTCTGAAATACCGGCTCAGTGTGCAGAACCACTACACTACGAAGGCACACTAGGGAAGTTACTGGGAATCGCTTGGTATACGTCCCAAAGTCTAGAAGAGATTAATGACGTATATTCATGTACCATCGTATTAAGGAATATGACCTTTACTAACCTCAATGGCGCAACAGCCCTAGTGGGCCAAGGCCTGCTGTGCCCTTTCTTGACCTTGGGCCCCAGGGTGCGTGAGCATGTGCCCTGAACACGTGTCAGCTTGTCGCAGGACCCCCAATGTTTAGTCCCCAAGCGAACTTGGTACTCATTTTATCGACCCAAGCGATAGAAATCAAGGGATGAAAGGTTGAGTCGACCTTGCCTAGCCGGAGGATCGAACCCCGGACCTGAGATGCTGCTGCGAGATGCGCTAATCACTGCGCCACCGGGTCTACGTAACCTTAAGAATGGAATAAATGTGAATGGTATTTGTAGGACCAATGGGTACAGTTCCTTATGTATTCGACAGAGGATCTGCATTTCTTCATGTTATGGAGAGGAAATGTTATGAAACCTGCATAAAGTGATTTAAATGAATATCATGTTCAATTTTCAATTCATTTATATGCATTACTGTGCTACACATCTCCTCCCCCACGAAAAAAATTTGACCAATGATGTGTTCAGTTTTTGAAAAAAATAATATTTTTTCATATAAAGGCAATTTTGGATACCAATGTATGTGTAACATTACTATTAATACGTCTTTATCTCCAAAATTTTAATTAGAATTCCATTTCCTCCTTTTCCTTAACTGCTGTGTTTTGAAATTTTCGAGCAGACTGTAATTAAGTCAAGCAAAAATAAACCTGGAAAATTTTACAACTAACGTAGTGGATTAGCCTGCTTGAAACTATGTCAGACATATTACGGCACGCCTTTACAAATGCTTTACATTGATTGGAAACTTGCACAAACAGAAAGAAATAAAAGAAGATTTGATGTAACTTTACCTTTTTAAACAAATTACGCTTTAAAAATTTATGAAGCAACTGGCAGCTCAGTCTGTGCTATGATTTAACTAAGATGACCCCCATTAGGAGCTTCGAAAAGTCACCATTCACGGTAAAATTGCACATAGAACGATTAGAGCTGATTATAGCTGTGGGCCCTTTGGACCGATTAATCGCTTCATTGCGTATTAGCTGAAAAGTTTTTTTCTCATATTCATATTTGTTCTTAAGCATGTGGATGCCTATCCCTATGCAAAATTGAGCTAAGAGGATCATGTCTAGGAAGATGCTGGCTAAGATTTAAACTTTGTCTCTGCTCTTGATGCAGTCCGTGATGGCCAGAAGAGTGGCGATGCCTTGGCGAAGGAGTCCGGCTCGAATCCGAGGTGGTAGAAACAGGCGCAGGACTCAAACATCGAGGAGATCCAGGAGAACTGCCTCCGTCGAAAGACCCGAAGCTTCCGTTGGTGTTCTCCCCGTCGTCTGTCGTTTCTCCTGGCCCCCCTCTGTGGTGATCTGACGACGAAGATGAGAGTCTGTGGTGGTGGTGGTGGGGAGTGCTGCCATTGTGGACCCCTTGGGGAGCTGTATGATGGGAGACGGTCCCTCGCTGGGGTGTCGCTGTGGGATGCTGATGGTGAGACAGCTGCTGTTGCTGCATCTGTTGCTGCAGTAGCCTAATATTTAAAAGAAGAAAAAATAGCATATAATAACATATATAAATATATTACTTTATTATATAGCATATAATAAAGTATTGCTATAACAATTCTTATTTATTTTCATAAAATGTTGAATAAAATTTCATTATTGGATATATGGATATCTGATAATTAATGACATAATACATATTAAAATGTAATTAAAAAAATTCAAATTACTTTACTGCTTCGATATAAATTAACACTTCTCAAACGGCGGGTGACCAAAAGTTTCGTTTTTATGGTTTTGTTACATAATTATATACTATATTTATTTATAGTTATTAACTAATTTATATTTTATAGTTGACTGTTAATGATATTTACTTTTTTCTTTTCATTATTACTTTTTCTTTCCCTCTTTTGTTCCAAAACAACTGTATTCTGTGTTAAGACATTAAAAAAAAAAAAAAAAAAAAAAAAAAAAAAATCTGAAAGCTTTTAGATTTTATATTACGCCGAGAGGGCCCTTTTTTTCATTTACATACACGCCCATACACATTTCGGGAACATTTGGGCTAACATTCATTTGGGCTAAAAATATTTAAAAACAACCTATTATTAAAATTTCCGATAGACAGTGTAGCGCGCTGGAGATAAAAATACTTTTTTCCCCTACAGTGTTGCTATTGCTCTTTAGGAAAATGCTGAGTTTATTAATCAAAAATTCTTTACAGATTTCCAAAATTTGAAATACACAATAAAATATTTAAAAACAGCATATGTTTAGAATTTCCGATAGACAGACTGGTGAGCTGGATATTAAAACGTTTTTTCCGTAGTGTTGACATTGCTCGCTTTGAAATCGTTGAGTTTGTTAATCGAAAATTCGTTAAAAGTTTTACAAAATATGAAAAAGATAATAAAATAAATTCCAAATTAGATACCCATATTCGTTGGAGGATTGCATTATTAGAAATTTTATGGCTCTAGGTACCGTCGTTTTTTCACAATGCGAGAAACACATACATTCATGAAGATTCCTCTTAAATGTAATACAAGGCGATAATATTTGGTGGCAACAATTTAAAAAATGATTGGCTGTTTATAGAAAAAATCACAAAATGCCGTTTTGATATTAATAGCTCTTCTCGACTACCGCACATTTGGTCTAAAAATGCAGATAAAAAGAAAAAATATTAAGGCGCACAAAACAAGATAAATATTTAATTTTTTACTCTATTAACATTATATATCTTAGAATTCGTCTAACTCTAGTCCCACGCCCAGACAGTAATTGAGTTCCTTGATATATGTAGTCAAACATCGATAAGCCAAAAAACTAAAAGGACCAGATCTCATTTCTTTAAATAAAAGTCATTAGCTGATAATTTGATCGAAAATAAAAAAAAAAAAAAAAAAAAAAAAAATAACAATAATTCCAAATTTTGCGTTTCATCATTTAGCCCCCATTATTTTTAATTTAACACCTCAACTTCCGACACAGCCTGCAATAACTGAAATTCCTTCTGTACGTTTCGACGGAGCCACAAGGTTTCTATGGCTTTTGGGAAACGCTGGCATAACTGCGATACATCTCGCAGGAAAGACACATTCGCAGAGCTTATGGCATTATTCAAGACACAGTGTGTGTGATCTCAGGTAATGCTAAAACTGACAATTACTTGAATTTTCGCCAACTCTCCTCTAAGATCTCTCGGCATTATATCCTACGACTTTTTTTAAAGAAAAGGAAAGGGCATATGTCTCATGCGTTGGGAATTTAATTTATTACTCATATGTCATTAACACGTACCTAACTCTGTCTCAGAGATCTAAACACAGAGTATGCCAGTACGCAGATTTTCTCACTCTCAAGAAAATGGTCTTAAAGCAGTGTTACTGCATAATGGAAATGAAGAAATTTCAGTTTTTTTTATCAGATGCGCAGTTGAGAAAGAAATATATTATGAAACTATAATTACTTACAACGAAAAATATTGTTCATTTGGGAATAATATTACTTTTTTGGGGGGGTTGCGACCAGAATGCAAAATTATATACATCGCATTTTCTCCCTTAATGTTTTTAAACAAGGTTCTAAAAAGTTTGTAATTATTCATGTAATATTTCCCTTCTTAATGACATTTAGAAAGCGAGCTATTACAAATTTTAAAATGGATTCTTCCACATATTGATTGTTTTCGCCTTACTAATTGATTTGTTCATGCAGTTTTGCTGCAAGAGCTCTGACTGACAAAGCAATAATAGTGAAGAGTTTCAAGAAAACGATTGTAATGTTCTTGATGGTTCTGAAGATCATTGCACGTGGGAAAATAGACAGAATGTTGACTATGACAATGATGAAAATGGCAACGACTTGCAAGCTGTAACTGACTATAACTTCTGCAAGCGTAAAGTTAGTAGTGGACAACAAATAAGATTCAAGATAGCCGGTGAAGTCCAAGACACAGGGAAGTAGAAATGAATAATATCTTGTTAGATATTGCAATTTAAATACTGTGTGTTCTTACTGGAAAGTACGTTTCTTTTAAATAAATAACATTTCGATAGTTACCGGTAGTTCACACATGACTACTTTTCACCTGTTTTGTTCTTATTGCAGCCACGTTCTTCAGAAATTAAATTATCCTCATGATTTTTCCTTCTTGATTTTCGTACAATAAAAATTAGTTAAAAAAAGGGGTAAGGAGAGATACGCCGGTAAATTCGGTATTTTTTTAGTGGATGAAATAACGAAGATATCAGAAGCTATAATAGAACCAAAAATAGACGCAAATGAAAGCAAACAATGTTGCTTATCACTTTTCGTTACTTTCGCAGCCGTAAATATTATATCGAACAAGCCATTAATTTATCCACAAGAATAAATAAATTAATAAATAAAAAAATTATCTCTCATCTTTTAGTAAAAAAAATGTGTAGATCCAATGAATACAATTAAGTGGTTTCAGGTATTTACAAACGAATCAATCCCCCTCCAGAAGCTACCTTAATTTAGCGTAGATTTTGAATGCGTTTTGAGGGTGATAAGACATGGATCCCTCTTCTTCAGGAGCAAAAATGTTTTACTTCAAAAAAGAAGTAGTGTGTAATGTAGTCGGCCTAAAAAAATTAAATACACGAAAGAAGCTCAAAAATGCTTTAGAAAACTCTGAAAACAATTTTAAGTAACTTTTCAAATCGAATATTTTCAATTCAGGTTGGAAAGTTATTTTACATCTTATAATCCAAAAACAATTTTCAATGCATTTTATATATTTCATTAATTTATAATTCCAAAATTTTATAGTTCATGAGCTGACAAGTGGTAGAATTTCTGAATATTGGTAATTCCATCGGGTTCAAAACTCGGCGAATGGGCTGGCTGCGTAGGAGTTTGCTTTTTGTGTAACGTGTAATCAGTCTTCCGAGAAAAGTCCTTCATGAAGCTATTCCTGCTTGTGTAATGAAAACACAAAATTAGTCTTCCGAGAAAAGTCTTTTACGAAAATATTGCTGCTCTTAGATAAATAGCGTGCTTTCATGTAATTCAAAAAATCCAGTCTAATCTAAAATTTCCTATCGGATGGAGTAAGAAATTTTTCAGTTAATTTTGGATAAGCAAGATTGATTTAGTTTAAGACATTAAGCGTTTCCAGTAGCACACACTGTAATATATTGTTCACTGTAATATGATATTTGGAAAGACAGCCAAAGTCTAAGATTCTTAAATTTATATGAAAAAAACTTACGCAGACATATATACTATATACCATCCATATCAGAATAAATATCCGTTTTTTAAATGACAAGAAATAAGTGTCACTAAACTGTCGCTTATTACTAGCTTCAAAATTTTCCATTATTCCAGTTCTCAAATCGTTGATGTGTCATATATCAATACATCACGCAAGCGCGTGAAAAGCAAATTACTTTTTGTGTGCTCAACAAACAGCATGAATATCCTACAACTTAGTTTTGTTGCAATCCAAGCTACGACCTTTAAACGTATAATATTATTTATTATTCATTCGTCATTTTTTTTTTTTTTTTTTTTTTTTGTAGTCATCAATAGGAAAAACTTACTGCAGGATAATAATGGTTCATCTATCAATAAAACATTTGGCAAACACAATTTCTGAAAATTCTATAGCAAGCGAGTTTCATAATGTTATATTTAATCTCCGTGTAAAAGTTATGAGAGTAATTTTCTATTGAAATAGCAAAGTCGTATGCTTATTTACAAGAGCACAAATTACGCACGTATATAATCATTAATAGAATGGAAGTAACTGCTCTTTGGAAAATAGGGGCAATTCATAGCCCTTTTGTGCTCTAAATAATGCATTATTTTGTTGTTGCACGTTATATAATCCTTAGTTCAATTGTCACAAAAGATATATGCATGAATGTAGTTCATTTTTCACTTTGATTCACCTGCATACCTAAAATAATTTAAATGTACTATTCACGTACTTATAATTATTAATAATTATTAGTCCTGAATGGGATATTAATCTCGAAACGATATTTTCCATTGAATCACTATAAGCGGAGTATTACTTTCAATTGTTGCCACCAAATATTATCGCCCTGTATTATATTTTAAGAGATTAAATAATGAAGAACCCACTTGGATGTATTGTATGCATTGTGAAATTGAATGTATGCCTTGTTTAATTATCTATTTCCTATTTCGTAAAACTTTAACGAAATTTTATTAACAAATTCAAAAATTTTAAAACGAGCAGTGACAACAATGTACGGGAAAAAACATTTTTATCTTCGGCACGCGAGACTATCTACCGGAAATTCTAAAGATATGCTGTTTTTAAATATTTTGTGATTTTATTGTTGAATCGAATTTTGTGTGGCGTAAGCCCCTAAAACATGATATTTTATAAATGAAGTAAACACACAGAACGTTAATAATAAAAGGCAAAAAGAAAGTTTTGTAAGCCATTTTACTAAACAAAGAGAATACTGATATAATGAAATGAGAAAAAAACTGAAAAAATACAAAAAAAAAAAAA